CTGCTGAAAAAAGTGGAATTCTGGTAAATCCTAATTTTATGTTAGCCTGTAAGTATCGATTGGAGGTAATCATCAGAAGGTATTACTTTGAAAAGACAGCTTTATTGTCATAGCTTCATTGAAATCCACATGTAGTAGCCAAAGATCTGCTTCCAGATGTGGGGCATCTCCACTTACAGCAGACCCAGCATCATCCACTGAGCAAAGCTTAATTGCAGCATTTTTTGCATGAAATGTTTTTACAGACTTCTTGATCTTCTGTCTTTTGTTTCATGCAGACACCACACGGCCAAAGCGTGACTATGAAGTGGATGGGAGAGATTATCATTTTGTCATTTCAAGAGAACAAATGGAAAAAGATATCCAAGAGCACAAATTTATAGAAGCTGGGCAGTACAATGATAATTTATATGGAACTAGTGTCCAGTCCGTGAGATTCGTGGCAGAGAGGGTAGGTTAACGCTAGTTTTATTGATCATGCAACATGATATTTTTGTTTCCACATTGTATCTCAGTCATGATTCTTCTGCCAAAAATATAAAATATCTGCAAAATGGCATCCTAATATTTAGAGGCTTTACAATGACTCCACAAGTGGAGTCTCTGACTTTGAATGCGAACATCCTTGGCACTTTCTGTACCTGGATGGAGTGCCATGGATTCAGGGATCTAACACAATGCCTCAAGTATGCCCCAAACCAGCCTTCCCTCTTCCCTCTGTAAGACAGGTAAATTAACTTATCTCACTTCCACAGAAGCGAAAGCATGAAGCAGAGAAAGATTAAATTATTTGCCTCAGGTGACACGGGGAGTCTTTGACACAAACAAGAACTGAATTAACCAGTAAGAATGTAGACATCCTATTGCTTTTATGAATTGATTTTCCTCATCTCTGAAGAAAAACTCTCCCCTCCGCAAAGTTCATCCCAGTAAAAATAAAAAACAAGTTTGTTCCCATATCTCCAGTGTATATTTTATATTAGCACCAAAGCAAAGGAAAGAGCATAGAGGAGCAGAGCATGTACCCTGGGGTCCCCTTCCCTGGTGCAGCAGTAATGGCCCCGTTCCAGGGCACTGCGTTGCAGAATTGCTTCCCGACTTTTGGCTGAACTGCAGCAAACACTGCAAAAATAAACACACCCTCATCTGTTTCCAACAGGGCAAGCACTGTATACTCGATGTGTCAGGAAACGCTATCAAACGACTACAAGTTGCACAACTCTATCCGATCGCTATCTTCATTAAGCCTAAATCATGGGAGCCTCTGATGTAAGTATGAACTCCTTCAAGCATTTTATTTTCAGGGTACAATCTCAAGCCGCACAACACAGGTCTTGAGTCTACATTTTGCTGTCCTCTGAAATCAGTAATAACAAGAGGAAGTGGGAACAGTGGAGATTTGCTCTCCCTGCCTGCCGTCCGCTGTACCCCAGCATCTCAAGGAACAAGCCAAAGCTGCCTTTGAACCTTTCACACTGGGACATGTGGGCTTACGTGCCGGACCACGAGGGACGCCCTGCCAGTGCTCAGTGTACTTGTTCCAACCTGTGCCGCAAGTTCACCAGGGACTCCTGGCTTGGATTGTCCCGTCCAGCCTTGGGTGCTCTTGGGGTGTAGAGTCTGGTCACAGGGGGCGAACCAGAGGGTAACCTGTGTCAGATTTGCAGTGTGTGCCTCTTTGTCAGCCCTTCATTTACTTGAAGGTCTGTAAGAGGATAGGCAAGGACCCATGGGACTGGAGAGGGGCAAACACAACACTTAAAGAAGGAAAGAGAAGACACGAACTTCATGCTGTCACCAGGCAACCTAACTTCAATACTTAGAAAAACACTGGGATCCAGGGAAAAGTTAAGCAACTCATGTATAATAACTGAGAGGATAAAAAGGTTCTAAGAGGCAGCCAATGTATGTGCATCAGGAACAAATCAAATCAATTTTATTTCCTTCTTTCATGAGATGGATATCAATAATTGTATTGCATCTTGATTTTTATTCTGGCTCCATGGGACATTCTCAGTAGCAGCTTAGGGAAATACAGTCCAGAGGGAATCACTAGAGAGCATGTGTGCAACCATACTCAGTCCTTGAAAATGGCACTGTTAAACTGGGAGGGTGACAGAAATCCTGCAAGTATATTTCCTGAGCTGTCTCCCTATTTGGGACTACTTGTTATTTTCATTAATTACTTGAATGATGAATTGGGCAATAAAGTAAAGTTTGTGAATAACTCAAGGCTGAGCAAGGTGGCAAGCACTTTGGAGGATAAGATTAAAACTCGATGTAAAATCAGTAGGATGAAATTCAGCACAGACAAAGGAGAGAAAATGAAATGCATGAGTACAAGCAGGGAATGATTAAACTATAGCACTGCAGAAAAATATCTGGCGGTTGGGGTGGATCACACAGCAATATGAATGGATGGATAATGTGGTTGCAAAAAAGGAAACTGCCACTGTGGGCTGTATTAACATCAGTGTTGAATAAGGACAGAACAGACAGTAATTTTGTTTTACTGGGTATGGACGAGGCCTCAGCTGGAGCACTGGCCTGGTTCTGGGTTGCACCCTGGAAGTGGAGGAGGAACAGGGGTTACCTAAGAGAACACTGAGGAGGAAATATGGAAGTGATCTTCATACTAGTTAAAGCTCAGGATAAAATACATTGTGATCAATTGTTTTCCAGGTACACTTATAGTAATGCAAGAGTTATCAGCTTAATTTGCTGTGACAGGAATGAAATTTTGAACTCTGTGCCTTCCCCTCACCAAAGGCTCTGCAAAAACCAGGTGATGCCATTGGTACCTGTTACACAGCTAAAATGTAGGCATCCCCCCTCCTGTGACAAATGTCTATCCGATTACGGTAACGGCGTGTCCACATGCTATGGGTGACAGAGCTGGAGAATGCTAACATGCCCCATCCCGTGAACGTGCATCCTCCCTGGTGGTATCACCCTTTTGGTGGTAAGGTTGTTGCATGCCCAGCCATGTTACAGGGAATGATGCACAGTATGTGGTACTTGCACAGCCCCATCCTGACCAAAGCCATGTTGGGTTGGATGACTTCTTGACATTTCTTCCAGCCCTACAATTCAATTATATTCTGATTACATTGCTGTATAGAAGGGGAAGGGTAGTCTGATAGCCTACCTTCTGCATTGATTGTTTTAAGACAAATCTTAACCTACAGTATTCCCATCTATAAAATATTTCCATTATTTGTTTAATGCTGACATTGCATCTGGAGTGATAAAAAAAAAGAAAAGAAAAGTGGCCCTTACTCTGTAAAATACACTAGGCAGAACCAGAAATGTGGCAATAACATAAAGGCTTTATTGATTTGAGGTAAGAACAGCAAATCCTTGAACAGATTGACTGAGAAGTGTTATGAAGATGCAAAATATTATGATAATCATCCTGTTATTAAACCAAAGCAATGCTAATATTTCAGCTAGGACAAAACAAGTTATGCAGAGTTAGCAGAATTTTCCTTACTGATATGAATCAAAAGTAAGCTATTCTTCACTCTCCAAATCGAAACCTGCCTCACTGTTCACAGTATGGTAGGGACAAAGTGAAATCCATTATATGACTTTGAATTCCTTGTTCTGCAAATACCCTGTGGAAGACACCCTTAACTAGAAATCCAGACTTCCATGGGACAGCAAAAGTCCCTATGTATCAGTACTAGACTGGGATTTTTTGCAGTAATATGGCTTATATAAATAAATTATAAACACAATACAACTCAAAAAAGGAGAAAAATGTAATGAATTCAGGCATTCTAAATTAGTTTATCCCCTGCAGCCTGCTCTCCACAAAAGATTACTATCTTTTTATCTAGTTAATCTATCTAATGTGTATTTATCTTATCAAATAGTGCCCAAAATTAGTTTCTAACAGAAATGAGAACTCTTTTAATATAAACAGTGTCGTTCTTTTTAAAGAATTGTTTTGAGAATAATGACATAATTCTGAGCCCTTTGCTTGTGAAAATAATTTCTTTTATTTAGTAACGAAGCTAAATCACTCAGGGTCTGGCTAAACAAATACGTAGTCTGACATAAGCAGTAGTGAGTGGTAGGGTGTGCATAGATGAATGGCTATAACATTTTTCCAATAGATACTATTATTGCAGTATGGAGAAGTTTAACATGGTAAACCAGTGTTGTGTGGGAATAGAAAGAGGCCATTTTTATGACAGCATAACTATGTTCACTCAGTCTTTTTTATGTATGTAACTACTACTACACAAAAATTATAGGTTTATCTGCCATAACTATTACTCCTGTTCATACAAATGAGTTGAAAGTTAGCGTATTAGCAAAGTAAAACCATAAAAGACAAAGAATTGCTAATCAGAAGGTGCAGAGAAACAAAGTTAAAGATTTAGCTTGCAGCAAAATTAGCACTTAAAGTTGAAGTCCAATTCTCATTTACGCATATGCTCCTTTGCACCCATCTGACAGTGAAGGTAAGAAGAGTGAAGGGAACATAAATCAAGCTTGCACCTGCACTTGAAACTTGGTTATCACTGGTTCTCTGGAAATACCCTGCTAACACTGATGACCACAGCAATGGAAGACCATAAGGGGTTATTGGATGTAAAAGCAAGCAGAACACATGGCCTGAGCTGAAGGTCTCCTGATCCTGCTTTCTTCAGTTTAATTCAGTCCTGGCCATCAAATTGCTGTAAACTGCTCTGCCATCCTGTCCTTCCTTCCTTCCCTTCTTCCTCCCTCCCTTCCTCCCTCCCTCCCTCCCTCCCCCTGGGCTCCAAACATGCTTCTCTTCAGTTTCCCTCACTTGGGAGAACTACGGTCTGTATTAGAAAAATTAATTAACGATTTGAGAGGAAATTTCAAATTTAGATGTTACGCACAGTGAGGAGAACAAAATTAACTCATTTAATGTCAGGCCTTCCATTAATTATATAATTAGCCTCCTGGCACTTGAAAAGAATTTAATATGGATATACATTTTAGGTCTGGAAAATCGTGTGACCTTTTGCTGGGTGAAGTGGGGCCTTCCACCTTTGTTTTTCATCCTCTCCTTCTGACTAGCATGTGACCTGCAAGGTGCAGTTTACTAGAAGCGAGAAGGACTGTCTGAGAGTATTGTAATTACAAAAGATAAAGGGAAAATGGAGCAACTGGGGAGATTAAGAGAGTTGCTCAGGCAGGACTTGTGTCTGTTCAGCCTAGTGCGAGAATATAAATAATTCTCTTCTTTACTGCAGCATTGTCTCCTGTTTCTTTCTTTCTCTTCTTCTTTCTTCCTTCCTTCCTTTCTTCCTTCCTTCCTTCCTTCCTTCCTTCCTTCCTTCCTTCCTTCCTTCCTTCCTTCCTTCCTTCCTTCCTTCCTTCCTTCCTTCCTCCTTCCCTTCCTTCCTTCCTTCCTTCCTTCCTTCCTTCCTTCCTTCCTTCCTTCCTTCCTTCCTTCCCTCCTTCCTTCCTTCCTTCCTTCCCTCCTTCCCTCCTTCCTTCCTTCCTTCCCCCCCTACCTCTACATGACTCCACCTCACAGGTTTAATCCCAGAGGGGTCCCTGTTGGTACATCTCAATCGGCCTCTCTCTGTAGAAGAAAGACCAGTGGTGGGATCATGGGGATGAGAGCTGGAAGTAATGAAGAGCCTACCTGGGTGAGGGCTTCACTGGGAGAGCAGGAAAACCCTGGAAAATATGCCTGGAGGGACAGCTCTTTGCAAGCATTTTGAATTCACCAGCTGCACAGGTCTCTGGCTAGGAAAGAAAAAAATAGAAGGGACTATTGTTTGACAGCACTTTTAATTCATTGTCAAAAATGGACATCATGTTCCTCCCCCTTCTCCATCCTCTCTCCTGAAGGCACAGGATGGGCAGAGGCGTGAATACAACTAGCAGAGTTTTATACCTCAGGCAAGTCTATAACCTGAAAATGTAACGCAAATTTGTGCTTATTTCAAAGTACTTACTATTTTAAATACTTCTTTATATTTTTATTTATATTTTGTCCTCTGATATTCAAAGATCTTGAGGAAGACTTCTCAGAAATTTACCAGAAATAGATCTGGAAGGAGGAGGATGTTGTTAGCATTAGGATATTGGCTGAGTGTCCTTAAGATGAGATAAAATGTTAAGTTTTCATAAGAATTTGCAATGCTATGTCCCACTTCAAGACAGAGTTTTGGTTCAGTCACCTAAAGACATGTTTGAGTAGGTATAGCTGATGAGAAGCCCACCTGAAGTCAATTAGATAGCAATCCTTCCAATAAATAGAATTAGTAGTATTACAAATTTAGCAGCATGACAGAGATGGGCATAAATTAAACATATTTATATAATCCATAAATAACTGTCATAAATTTTAAAAGAAATCTTTGTTATCCTTCATTTTATAAACCTGCTTTCTGCATTGCATTGGCACTTCCAGAGAGATTTTGCTAAACAGTGTTCCCAGCTATATGGTTAGTTATACAGATAGACAGCTTTAACTCATTTCAAGAAATACCTTTTTTCATCCTGGACACCTTACAGGGTGTTTTTCAGAAGCCAGGTAGGAGTCAGCTGGAGGAAATTCATACTGTTGTGCACTTCATAGATCATTTTTTTAAGCACCATCATGCACGTAATTTCCTACATGCATCACATGTGTCATACTGTATACAGTCCATTACCACATAATCACAGGATTCAGTGCAAAGCATTAAATCAGATTTATGTAGAACACAAGATGCTTCCTTCTCTTGCTTTCCTAGTTGCCTCAGAAAATTTCCATCATGTTTTAAAAAAATGAATCGATGCTGTGAAAAATCCTAGAACAAGCAAACTACTTATTATTGCTGATTAATTTGGGTATCTGCAGGCATATATGTGTAAGGCAGTGAATGAGTGTGAGCTTGATCCTTTGTAAGTATACAGTGGTATTAAAAGCTGAGCGTGCATGGGCAAGACAACTCATTTCTTCAAGTTATTAAATAATGTCTCTGTCAAAACAGAAACGGTCCACCAAATAACAAAACATTGGCAATAACAGAACGTTACTGACACTGTCTGTTTTTACATCTATTGGTACCCTGTACATTTTAAAATCTACAAGACACACTTGACTGGGAATCTCTACAGTTAATCAGAAAGGACTGGAACAGAGAACACAAATAAGTAACTCATCCTAACTCTTCCTGCCGGAAAGACTCAGTTTGAATTCTCATGATATCTGGAACTCATGGACCCCCTTGAACCAAGAAGTGTCCCTGGAAGACATGCTGGCTTCCTTCTGGGGCTTCCCTACAGGGATTACAATGACTCTGGGCTTCCTCCTACAGGGTCAGAAGTCTCACTGTACCGAATCCTGCCTTTAATCATGATTTCACTTCCATAACCCCAGCCTCAGTCAAAACCCACCTTCCATTTGAGCAGTTTGGACAGCCTCATTCAGCCAAGGCAGCCAGCTGTGAGCCCGGGAGATAGGGAGGTTCCTGAAGGAGCTTCAGTTCTGGAGGCAGGAGTGCTCTGAGTGCACAGACCTTGAGAGGTCCTGGCTCCCAGACTTACCCATGGCTTCCTGATGTCACAAGTCCATCTCAGTTGGCACTTACCAGATTTGGGCCTTGTATTTTGTTTGGGAATGTAGAGTGGTGAACCCAAATTAAAAATTTAGTGGAGAAACTGGAAATAGTCTGGAAAGGTAGGTTTATGCTACATAAGAATGAAATTAAATTTAAAATAACGAAACTGCCCGTGAATCAATGGAAGAATTTCAACGCTTCATTCTTCTATCGATCTCAGTCCATCTGTGATTCAGTTGAACATATCTTTTAGAAAGCTGTTTTAGTGAGAATCTAAAGTTCTTGTTGACTTCCTCTGTGTTTCTAGGGAAATGAATAAACGTCTTACAGAGGAGCAAGCGAAGAAAACCTACGATCGAGCAATTAAATTAGAACAAGAATTTGGAGAATATTTTACAGGTATGTTTTTATTAAAAACCGATTTTTTCCCAAGGTATAGTCTTTTATGGCAAAACAACTGGATCAGCTCAGTCTCTGCCCTAGAGTGCGTATCAGTAGAGTGGGTCCACAGTAAGGACTCCTGGCTTGGGACTGTTGTTTCCCTGAAACTCAAGGGCAGTTGAGGCATTCAACTCAGAATTTTGATGCCCTGAAGGAATAGTTCTGCATGAATTTGGTTCCCTCTCTGACCCAAAACTGCTTTTAATGAAATCAGTACAAATGTTGCATCATTGCATTTGTACAGACCAAAGAATTCCTCACTAGCTCAAGGCAAGAGTTCAAGCCATGGATCACGGGAGGGAAAGTTTGGAAAGAGAAAGGTGTCTTCTTTCTGACCTGGAAAAGAGCAAGATTTAAGACTTGCTCTGGGCCCCAGCATTTTCTTTGGACAGGTTTAGGCAGCTCCCTACTCAGGGGACTGGTATTTGTGGATAACTCAGAAGCGCCCAGTTGTCCCTCCACATGCAGACAGTGTACATTATCTGAACTGCAGTTCCAGATTTCTGCTGGGAGGGGGAAGGAATTTAAGAGTATAGACACTGTGCTCTGTGTTACTGTTGCTTTATCTTCTGTCACTTTGGGCCTGATCTAGTTAACTTTTGCAGCCAAGAATGAGTTTATTATAACTAGGTCAGGAAAAGAATAGGCTGTAAATCTGCTGCTACTCACTCTGAAGTAGCTTCTAAATCAAATGAAATGTAAAGCTTGACTGGCAACAGTGGGAACCTACCATGCTGCCTTCCCATGGGATAGAGCTGCTATTCTCTAAACTAACTGAGCTCAGTCATCTCACTACAAGCAGTGGGATGGGTCTCTGTCATGGGAAGGTGCCATTGGTTTGAACTTAGTTGCCAAGGGTATGACTTTCCATAATCAACAACATCACAGTGTGCTAGGATTCCTTCTCATTTCATCAATATCTGACACTGGATGCTGTAGAATATAACAATTAAAAGAAATATTGATATGTTTTCTTACTGCAGCTATTGTCCAAGGAGATAGCTTAGAAGATATATATAATCAATGCAAACTTGTAATTGAAGAACAATCTGGGCCTTTCATCTGGATTCCTTCAAAGGAAAAATTATAAATTAGCCACTGCACCTCTGATTACGACGGGAGAATATTTAGAAGAAAACTATAATATACTATTTGGAGGCTTTCCTGTTTTTGTTGCATTTATGTTCTTTGCAGTCAATGTGAATTTTGATGAATGTACAACACAAAGTGTTTGAAGCCATGAAGGACACTGATGGGTCAAAGGGTAGGAACAAAAAGACTTCTACCATATAAAGCAAATCTGTTGTGTGCTCAGACCACCAGTTGTAGGTATAAACTTTTGACATGGAGACCCTCTGTCAAGGGGAGCTAGCCACCTCCTGTGCCCATGTGGACATTTTGATCGATTTCAGTGGCTGAGCTCAGTGTGTTGATTGCTTTAAAGAGAAGTTCCCAGCTCTTGAACCTCATATAGGGCTTGATCCTGCAAGGCGCTCAGCACTTGACCCCAATTCCTACACGAGTAGCCCGTTGACTTGGAGTCACTTGTGATCCTTCCCTATGCTGTTCAGTCCCATCAGTTCCAGTAGGACTATTCATGTGCTCAAAGCTAAGCACGGGCTTAAACGTTTTGCTAGATCAGGGCCACACGCACCTTGCAAAATCAAGCTCAGAGTACTTGGTCCACTTCCTACTGAAGTCATTGGTAGGATGCTCTTTGACTTGACTGGGAGGTGGAGCCTATTCTAAGCTTGTCATTGCACATTTGTAGTTAGTACACCTCGACTTCGGTAACTATGCACATCTTTTGATTTCTGAAACCAAGTCAAGCATTTCTTTTTTCCCCTTTGGAAACACTATTGCATCAGGAACTAATAACAGTATAGTTTATTTTATTGGAGTTTGGGGGTGGGAGAGGATGGAAGCATTTCACATCACACACACGTGCACACAAACACATTCCCATGCGGACACACACATGTATGAGGATTCACAGCACCTATGTTGACAAGGAGGGATACAACTGGGAAAAGCTTTAAAATTTTTGATTGTCTATTTTATCATTTATATTGATAGAAGGCACTTAAAGATGGAATAATTTATAAAAATAAAAATATATTGATGTATAGAAACTAATTTCTATAGGTAAAAATGTTTTTGTGAGATATTTTGTAAAGATTAATTAATTGAAAGATTAAATATTTACACCCTTGTGCGACTGTAAAATGTAAAGAGGACCATCAAGTTGCATTATCCCTTTTCCGTAACAGATTCTCTATTATTAATGACAAGCAAGGTAATTCCTTAAATTGTAGTTGTCAGCTTGTTTTTCTCTCAATTTAATCCTCTCCCTTGCCTCTATTTAATCCTGATGAACTCCTGTGGAAAGATCTCTTGAACTGACTGCCCTGTAGGACCTTTTCTGAAAAGGATAATGCATCTTTAAATTGAAATGGATGATTTTTCAGAAGCAAAACGTCAATGCTTGAATGCAGTTAATAATTTCTCTCTTGGAGGGATTCACACTTCACCCCCAAACGTTTTATGATTCTTCCTCTTTCTTTAAAGGAAACACCAAAAGCATTCGATCTATCCTCTCTTTTTAGGCAGGCAGGTCACCAACTAACTTGTATCTTCATTCATTTCACAGTCAACAAGGGTCTTAAAAGCAAAAACTGAGGCAATGGACATTTGTGAGGGATTTGGGGAAAGTCTGTGGAATTGCAGTTTGGGGTGCATGGAAGGGGAGAGGGAGGTATTTTTTTCTCATTTCACATTGCCCTTCCTTTGTATACTGATGCCATTCTTCACTCTGACACACAAGGGGACAACTGCAAGAGATATTATGATAGCAAACTGAATTGCCTTTGCTGCTGCTGGACCAAGTTTTCTATAAAACCCACAGCCTCCTGCCTGCTGCGCCGCAGGAGTCCAATACTTATTAGCTGGTGGCTACAGCAACCCTAATGTTTAAGGATGTTTTAAGGGCAAATGCTAAATAGACTCCTCGGTTACTTGTCTATTTGAAGCTTACATTTCTACACCCTGTCAAGCTGACAGGTATATCCAGCCAACCTCTGCGGAGTGCGCGACTAGCTGGATGTTTGTATTATAGCCACCAGCGGTGACAGGGTTAAAAATGGGCATTTTAGTGGCCCCGAGGTGGCCTCACTTAATGCCCTACTATGGTAACTTTGAGAAGTTCACACTTCTTTTACTACTGTTTTTCTTGCCTGGCCAGCGCAGATTTATAAACAAAGGTTTCAGTTAAGTCTCCAAAAGAGCTTTGCAACCAGAAGGGCTAGAAACTATTTTTTACAAAATATAAATGAATGAAAGCTTCAGTTTTGGATAATTCTGCAGAAATCCACAGAGTGACCCCAGATCTTTGGAAGCCATGGATTTTTCCATGCTGGCAAAGTACTATTGCCTCAGGTTGGGAAATAGCCCACCAGACCTGAAAAACCAAGTATCCTAAAGCAGGAACTTCATTCTGATTTTCAGCTCTGTTTTTAAGCAATCAATCACATCTGCTTCTTTGTTTCTTAGTTCAGCATGCAGCCTTTTACGGTACTATCCTACTAGTAACTGTTTTGCTTTGTCATGTGCTGTGCTTTACGGTGAACAGTAACACTATGGCTGAGTACAATCAATTTTTCCATCAGTCCTTGGTTACTGTAGTAACATTATTTATTTTTCCCTGTCTGTTGTTTGTGCTTCCAGTTTAGAGTTGCCATTGCACTTTTTTTTTTTTTTTAAATAAAACATATATTTAAAACCAATTCACCAAGAGAAGCAGTAAGAGGTCTTATTTCCCTTAGGACTTGTACTCCCATTTGTTTTGTGCGTTGACGTTTTGCGTTTCATGTTTCAGCATCCTCGGAGCTGCAGTTGTTTTTTGCATTGCAGCTGTTCAGATCATACTGGGTGGTAGTGGGAGGAGGAAGAGAAACAGAAGATTCATGCAAAATTACATCTGGTGCAAAAAAAAACAAAGAAGTCCAAACTCACAACCCACAGCAATTGGCGCCTAAGACCGTATTGGTGCTAACACAGCTTAGCGTAATCAGATTCCTTTTCTATCCATGTAAAAGACTTGCGAGCGTCTAAACATGAGATAAATGCAAATGCTGGACCCTTTAGGAAAAGTGCCAGATCACACCCCTGGTGCTATTTCTCATGTTCTGGCACAGTGTGTAGCACCGTAGGGTCTAAGCAGAACCAAAATTATCACAGCTTTTTGTCCACCCATGAATGATCACAATGACATCTTGCTAGCTTTGTGCAGATGTGCAATATTACAACCTATTTATTTCTCCTTGCCACAAAGCATCTTCCATGCACTGACTCATTGAGAGCTTGCTAACAGGGCTCAGTGAAACAGCACTCTTTACTGGTCTTATGGCCTGACCATCAACCAGTGAAAGAGCCTCTTTCTTGCTTAATTCCCCCTTCCTACTGTGCTGGTTTTGGCTGGGATAAAGTTACTTTTCTTCAGAGGTACCCTGTCCATGCTAGCGCTTTGTAATTTCTTTGGTAGTAAAGGTTGTTTCTAGATAAATATTCTGTGGTGTAATTGTGTTTGTAGCTAGCATGGTTTGATGCTCCGGTGTGGATAGGGTCCTAGGAACCACGCTGTGAAAGTCAAAGACAAGAAATCTCTCCATTGCACTGAAATTTCAAATCCTTATCCTGGAGAGCAGTGTTGAACCTGAGCTAATAACCACTACGAGCCAGCGACAGTGTCCTAGTTATACAACGTCCACCTACCTATTTACATCAGTTTTCTGTGGAGAAATTGTTGGTGTTCCACCTTCACTGTTACTTGCTCATCAGCACTCAGTCAAATTGTATTTTTTCCTTTGGTTTTCCTATATTTATTTTTTGTTTTTCAAATTGTATCCCTGACCAGAGGATTCAGTGATTGACAATACATGAGGATACCTGTAGGAAAAACAATGTTAATGAAAAAAGTCTCAATCTTCTTTTTAAGCTGCAGATTTAAAGCCATAATATCTGCCGAGTTCACAGACAGTGTTCTTTTTTCCTTCACAGCTTTTAGTCTCAACATTTTTTCTCTTGAACATTTTGTCTGCCATGTTATGCATGCGGTTCACTGTGCAACTGCATTCATGTGCTCAAGCCCATGCCTTGGTGAAATAAATGTATTTTCCTACTCCATTAAAAATCAGACATCCTGTCAATTAGGTCAGAAGTAAGAATGAGGTCGTCATTATGTTAAAAAAAAAGGTTCCCATTTTAGGACACAAATCAGAATCAAAGCTAACAGCAAATAACATCTAAAATCTATTCAACATATAGTTAGCCTAGATCCTCAGCTGGTGTAAATCACAGTCACGCCATTGATTTCAGTGGAGTCCATCCCATTTACACCACCTGAAGTTACACATCCGTCCTCCCCGTTACACCGGTATTTTAGCATTACTGTAAAACACCAAGGCCACATGATTAAACAGCAGCTCAGCACTTTCCATCATTATTTACTACTTATATTACTGTAGCACCCAGAGGGCCAAGTCATGGACCAAGATCCTTTTGAGGTAGGTGCTGTGAAATTGCTGAACAAAAAGACACCCCATGAGCCAAAAGCTGTGGCCGGATTTTCAGAAGGCTTCAGCCCAGCTGACATCTCACCAAGAGCAATAGGAACCACTACCCTGCTGGCCCTTTTGAGACTCTGTCTTTAAGGTGAGGAGCGTGAGACGTGACCCATCATCCCTTACATCGCATTAGCAGCTTACGCCATCTGGCCCAGACCTACAGCGCAGGCAACTTGCCATGGTATAAAACAGCGTTTCTGGGGATGGGCGGTAGCCAGCATCCTGGGCAAGATTTTGGGGGGAAAAAAAGCAAAAAAAAAAAGCAAAAAAAAAAAAAAAAGGCAACACTGTTGGCTCTTAGTGGGATAGCAACCTTTTAATTTCTGGATTTGTGTTCCTAAATTTGACTCGGCCAGTCCGAACTTCCGAGTGCGGCAGCCTGTGCTCAGCAGGCAGCTCCATCCGGCACGCTGGCCGGCGCGCGTCTCTTTAGCAGGATGTTTCTCAGTCCAGCTGTAGTGTGGGGTACTCAGAATCTGAACTGGAGTTTACAAAATACCCTGTCCAGCTTACACTCCTGTTATGTGTAAATACTCTGTGCATCCATTCCATTTGTGTAAAGAATAAAGCACACACAATTATAAAAATTAAGATGTATATTTCATACTAGCTGTGTCCTTGCTTATTTATTCCGGTCCAAGCTCTCAGCTGTGGTTCAGTTGTAAATGCTTGATAGAGTGTTTATATGTCATGAATTTTATTATAAAATATTAATATTAAAGCATTTTTACACTTTATAGCAAATGGCTTCTTCACAAGGCATAATTTGTCTTTTTTCCTTAAAGCAGAAGAGTAAAAGAGAATGAATATGCTCTTAATATGTCTCGAGACACTATCACATCTATCACACAAGACAGACACAAGTCTAGAAGTGGGATGGTGGTTTCAAAAATGACTGAGGATACAGAAACTTTTTTCTTTCTTTCACTTTTTTTTCTTTTTGACTTCACATTGACATGGAAGTTACCACCAAGAAGATTCACTCTGGTGAAGTACTGCTATTTTCTCCTTATCACACTTCTGTTGTGTATTGGGTATCATCAGCATCTTGGCGAATAATTATCAGAATATTTTTTTTTAATTAAAGAGTTGTTCCATGTTTCTGACATCACAGCACAGCCATTGGGATAAGGACTGTAATAATTACACGCTTGTAAGCAGCTTAGTGGAGCATAAACTTCAGTTGTGCTATGGGGTCCCAACAGCCCAAGAACCTTGGGTTTTGGCCATCCCAGGAATGTCTTTGCAGATGGCTTGTGAGCCCCAGGGAGGCCACGTGAACATTGCCAGTCTCTGGCAGAGGCAGAAACGTGACAGGGACACTGCTTTCGACACCCAGACAGTGCCAAATTCAGTCTGCAGAGGACCATGGAGCCTCCATATGGCTCTGGGAGCCACAATTGACACTACAGGGAGAAAAACTCTGTCTGCAGAGTTTTCCATGCATAATCACAAGGATGGTTAATCGTCTAAACATTCATTGTGATGCTTTAGACATCTTGAACAGATTCA